CGGCGAGCGGGCAGGCTGCATGGGTGTTTTCGTGATTTCCGCATGTGTATAGTCTATAAAGTGTTTTCTGGATGCATATGTGATAAAAGCGGGAGCAGCCTACTCGAAACCTCTTAACGCTGGTAGTTCGATCCAACTTTCGGTCCCGGCGAACGGGCTGGCTGTCCAGGTGTTTTCTTGCTTTAACGCATGTGTATCGTTTATGCAGTATCTTCTCCATGCATATGTGAATAAAGCGGGCGCAGCCCGCACAAAACTGCTGAACACTGGTATTTCCGTCCAACTTTCGAATTCCAGGGTACTGTATATAAAATTTGCATGCATACGTGAATACAGCGCGCGGGCACCGGATAAAACCGCTGAACACTGGTAGTTCGGTCAAACTTTCGAATCTCGGCAAGCGGGCTGGCTGCATGGGTGTTTTCGTGATTTTCCGCATGTGTATGGTGTATAAAGTGTTTTCTGGATGCATATGTGATAAAAGCGGGCGCAGCCTGCTCAAAACCTCTTAACGCTGGTAGTTCGACCTAACTTTCGGTCCCGGCGAACGAGCTGGCTCCCCGGGTGTTTTCTTGCTTTAACGCATGTGTATCGTTTATGCAGTATCTTCTCCATGCATATGTGAATAAAGCGGGCGCAGCCTGCTCAAAACCGCTGAACACTGGTAGTTCGGTTCAACTTTCGAATAGCCGTTTAAAGAGCTGTCTGTATGGGTATTTTCGTGATTTTACGCATGTGTATCGTGTATGCAGTATCTTCTGTATGAATACGAGAATAGAGCGGGCGAATCTTCTGATCACTGGTAGTTCGATCCACCTTCTGAATCCCGGCAAACGGGCTGCCTCCATGTATGTTTTCATGATTTTCCGCAACGTGTATGCAGTATCTTTTGGATGCATACGCGAATAAAGCGGGCGCAGCCCGGGTAAAATCGCTGAACTTTGGTAGTTCGGATGAACTTTGGAATAAAGGCCAACGGGCTGGCTCTATGGGTGTTTTCGTGATTTTCCGCATGCGTGTCGTGTATGCAGTATATTCTGGATGCATACTTTAATAAAGCGGGTACAGCCCGCCCAAAACCGCTGGACACTGGCACTTCGATTCAACTTTCGAATCCCGGCCAGCGGGCTGGGAGCATGGGTGTTTTCGTTATTTTCGTATGTGTAACGCGTATGCAGTATCTTCTCAATGCATACGTGAATAAAGCGGGGGAAGTCCGCGCAAAACCCCTGAACACTGGTAGTTCGGTCCAACTTTTGAATACCGGTGAAATTGAATATGGGAATTCTTTTAAAAACGAACAATGATAAGCGGGCTTCAGCCCGCTCAGCTGGCGGGCTTGCCCACTAGTCTCATTTTAATCTATGCCACTTGACATAAAATCTACCTGCGATATACTAAAGCTCTATATTGAGCAAGTACGTGACGAAATGAAACATAAAAGAAAGAAATCAACATAAAACTGTTAGTAAAACATAAATAAAATGTCACTTATCTTCTTTCAATATGTCCAACTGTTATAAGTGTAAATTATTTAATGCTACTTGATAAATTTAATAAAGTTTATTTTATTATCAAATTTATTAATAATAATATTAAGTTATGTTTAATAATAATGGATCATACTTACCGACCTATTTTATTTTTAGGATGGAATTATAAAAGTGAAGTTCAGGCATAGATAATATTTCTAATTGAATTTATTCAGCTCCAATTTTGCTTATAGGTCCTTAATTTTTTTTCATTAATGGTCCATAAAAGTACTTAATTTCCGTCTGCAGAAATGCGTATGAACCCTGTGACAAGTAATTACTGACTTTCACATGCGTGAAAATGATAAATTACTTTATCAAACAAGTATAAAACACCATTAAATTCTAAAACTGCAATTCTAAACAAAATAGTAAGTAACCAAAAACATCTAAACGAAACTTGTTTGAAATAAATTATATATATGTGATAATTAACTAGTAGATGGCATAAACAAAGTAACATTGAAGTACAGGTATAGTAGCAATTGTTAGAGGTCGGCTGAACATATTTATTTTTATTTATCAAGGAGCACATTTTAACTTGAATTACCAAGTGCGGTGAGTTGTTTGCACTCCCTTTTTTCTGTTTTATAAACAGATGATCCATTGCTTGCTTTATTATCATTACATGGAATACATAGTATAGTCATTGCCGATTAATGTATGATGTGAAAATGAGGAGTTCTGAGAAATTTCGTTATATCCTTATGTGTAATCTTTTTTCCCATTTCTTTGTGACAGTAAGTAAAGTGAAGTTCAAATAATTCAGTATTCCCAACAGCATTTGAAAGGTCAGAATGCCAAACACTGATAGTTTGACTTGGTTCCATATCCCACCGAAAGGGCTGCCTGCATGAGAGTGTAGTGGTTTTCCTGTGTGTAATGGGAGTACAAGATAATCTCCCTTAGAAAATTCTCCACAAAGTTGTCCTTCTCCATAGGCAAGTAATACTCATAATTTTGCCATGATCCAAAATAATAATCAAATCATTCACTATTTGTGTAACTGTTCACTACATTTTAAATGATTGTTAGAATCAACTATAAATTAACCAATTAATATTAAAAATGGCATCCAATCTTGATTCAAAATCACAATTAATCTAATCTGGGGGCAGCTAAAACACAAGAAAAAGGAATAAACCTTATTATCATTAATGGAAAAATACTGTTAACCACTTACCTATATTTTCAGGCATTTCATTCTGAAGAATAAGTTAATTTAGTTACTGAAATGAAAGCAGTTTTTAAAATAATGAGTAAATATCATTAAAAATGAAGAAATAAACAAGGAAGGCTTTTAATTTTTAACCTCTGGATATTTTTTAAAAAAGATAAAAATTTACTCATTCACAAATATGTAGCAGTTAAGCTGTTTAATATTTTTTATATAATCTAAAAGATGTTTTGTCTATTGCAAAATTTTCAGAATATTGCTGCACACAGTTAGGTTTGTGTATTTTTAGTTTCATATTTACATTGATTTACCAAATGATTTTTTTAACATTATGGACTTCTAAATGAGCAAAAGCATATGCAGTTTTGTGTATTGCTTAATTTCTAATAATTTCAATGTTTTATCGAAAACGCTTCTATGTGTAACTTGTATATGAGCCAGTTTTCCTTAGAAAGTCCTCCATAAAGCATCCCTTCCCTTAGGCAGATAGCCCTCGTGTGCTTTGCTATAATAAATTAAATCAAACCGAAAACACTTCCTCAGTTTGGGAAAAAGTACGTTTGATTCTACAAACTCAAAATAAAGCTATTAAATTTTAACTAGTCTAAAGGGGCAATTTGCCCTGAAGGATTATTAATTTCATTTTGGCATTTTGTATCAAAAACTTTAAAAGGCTGTATCACTTTTCAAATCATTGCCACCATATATTATCGCCCTGTCTTATATTTAAAGAAATTAAATAAGAATCTGCATAAATGTATGTATATTTCTCGCATTGTGATAAAACAATGGTACCTAGAGATAACAAAATTTGAATAATGTAATCTTCCATATAATATGGGCATGTAGAAGCCCTAATTTTAATTTGAAATTTGTTTTATTATAGATTTCAGATTTTGTAACACTTGAACAAATTTTTTATTAAAAAACTTATCAGTTTCATATCGAGCAATGGCAACACTGTATGAAAAAGAAAACATTTTTATCTCTAGCGCACAAGACTGTGTATCGGAAATTCTGAAAATATACTCATTTTAAAATTAATTTTCGATATTGCTGTTGAACTGACATTTATAGTTTGAGTACGTAGAACATATATTTAATAAATAAAGGTAACACACAAAACGTTAAGAAAACACCCCTTTAGACGTAATTTAAAATCTGAAACCTTTCAGATTTTTTTTTTTTTTAACTGTTAAATTTTTATGCAGGAAATAAAAATAAAGAAATGAAAAATATTTTAGTTGTCAGACAAACCTTCTGCCAGGATTCACCATATATTCGTTCACATAATGTTTTGCTTTTAGTTTCAGTCTATTCATTGATTATAATCAAATTGTTTGTATTTATTTTGGTTGATTATAAACATTGTTCACACTTTTTTATTTGTATAAATATACTTTATCAAATAAGAATAAAGCAGCTGCTATCATGTTTTTTGTAAATATGTTTATTTTTGCAAGTTGATTGTTAGTCTAATTATTAGGCAGCTATTGGATTAAATATTTATTTCTGATGGTGTTTGGATGCTGTTTCAGAATTATATATAGCCAGCATTTAAAATTTCTATATGCAAGAAATTGAAATTATGATGGACAACGTAATAGAAGAAATTTTTGCCTCATCAGTTGAAATGGCTGTGAAAATTATAGAGATTATGCATTTGAAAGTAACTTGTAAATGTCCTCTTGACCTTGAAGAACTGAAATCCTGTCAATTTCAAAATGTGATAATTTAATTGTTGATACATTAAGAATAATTGAAATTTTTTCACTGTTCTTGATATAATGCAACCATAAATAACTTGGAGCAAAAAGGACACCTGTTCCTGAAAATCTACAAGGATACCTTTTAGATTTTGGAAATATAATAAGACAAAGCAGTAGGCATAATTAGGTTGGCAGCACCAAAGCAAGAGAAAGTGATATGTCCAAGATGAAAATTTAGCACTGAATGATTCAGTTTTAGTAGCTTGGTTTTGATTGGTTAATATTAAATCTCACTTCCTAAATCTGGGAATCGTTTTTGGCTATAGCATTTAATACCTGCATTTGTGAGCAGTGTGGAAGAATTCTATGGCATGGATTAATTTTTAAATGATACAGTTTGGAGAGATGTATTGTAAGCAGTTGCTAATTTTAGAACAGGAGGCAAAATAACAAAATGTAGAGTTTAGGGTTACTAGTATTTTGATATATATATATATATATTTATTTTTTTTTTTTTTTTTTTACCATACATAAACTTAAAATGCATTATGTTATGTAATATTTTTTCCTTTCTTTTTACAGGCTTGGTTCCTCCTATGAATTAATTATCTAGGCCTTAAGGGTAATACAGAATGAAAAGTAATAGAATTTGGAATTGCTAGTAATTGATGTAGGACTTTCACTGAATAAAATTATTGTAATAAAATTGAAATCTGAGTGGCTTATCTTAATTGAACAAATGGAATTATAGTTTAAAAAAAATATTAAAATAATATTGTATTTAAACCTTTTACTGTGCTTCTGTCTATCTATTAATGGTGAATAAGTTTTCAGTTGAAGGTACTGTGAATGTCAAATAGAAAAATTGATAAATTAATAGTAATTATGTCAGTGGTCCTATAAGTGTATGTGTTGAACTTGCATATGGAAAGTAACATTCACTTTAGTGATTTCAAACTGCATACAGATTTAAGATTAAGATACAGATTAAAATTAATGCATATTTAAAATATATGTACAGCTCAACGTATAATAATACATAGATTTAAAAATTAATACATATTTAAAATATCTGTATAAATAAATATGCTTGATTGAAAAATTAAATGTTTTTGATTGAATATTGAAACTTTTGTATATTTTAAATTTAACTAAAAATTATAAAATCTAGTCAAGGGATATTGTCAGTGACTGTGTGTGCTATATTTTAATGACTGCAGGAATTTTATACTACCTTCCCCAAGATGATACGAGAAAATGTTCGAAAAAGAAGATAAATGGTTTATTAAGTTTATGCATGAAATGCATTTACAGAAATTTGCAAAACATAAATTTCACATCATATAAAGTTTTTTTTTATATATACATATATATACAGTGTAATGTTCTATTTCTTATAAAATGTTGTATTCTTTATCTTCACGATTTGGTCTTTTGTTATAACTAGCTAAACTAATAATAATAATTATTATTATTATTTATTTATATTTTAAGGTTATTGTAGATTTGATCAAAAATTGTCACCGAGCAATAAAAAAAATAATAAAATAGAAGATATTTCAAGTTTGAAGTATTTTATTCTTGTTAAGAGTACTTAAGGAATTTTAATTTTATGCTAGTGTAAATACATGCAAGTGGACAATAATTAGAAAATATTTATGAAGAACCATATTTAGTATTTAATTATTTATTTCAAGTCAGTATTTGAATGGGAGTCTAGTGATTGATTTGCTGCCTAATTAAGGTAATAACTTGCACTCTCAGTGTGTGCTTTTGAGGAAAATTTAAATATTAGTTATTTACTCCTAAATGTATATATTTCTGAGAACGTAGTGTATTAATCACTTGTCTTGTGGACACTTGCCATATCATTGCAGTTTATATATACATGTGTTACTTTTTATTTAATTTGAATTTGCTTTAAATCAGTTTAGAAAATGTACACTGCGCAAAAAAAGGGGGGGACAGTTCTATATCTCACATTCTACTGAGCCGGTTGACAAAATTCAAATTGCGTTTTTCATGTCTCAATTGTGCGACTTGGGATATATATTAGATTTATATATAGCATCATTCTAACAGGTATTTTGACACAAATTTGGATTTTTTCTGAAATGACATGCATCCCCCTCCATATTTCAATTACATGATTCAAATTATGCCAGACTACCAAGTTATGTAAAAGGTATTGGTGTTGGTGTATTTAATTATGGCAAAGCACACGAGGGCTATCTGCCTAAAGGGAGGGATGCCTTTCGTGGAGGACTTTCTAAGGGAAACTGGCTCGTATACACGTTACACATGGGGAAAACCACGAAAACGCCCATGCAGCCAGCCCGTTCGCGGGATTCGAACCTCAGACCGAACTACCAGTGTTCAGCGTCTTTACCGCTCGGCCGCTGGTGGGCCCCAAGTTATGTAAAAATCGCATAAGTAGTTTTAAAAAATTTTAGCTCCTCCATGTTAGTTGAATTTGGTGTATATTTATTAATATCCCATTTTTTATTTAACCTTTTTGATTTTTCCTTTCACATTTCGAAATTTAGGTTCATTTCAAATAAAATTCATGCATTTTTTTATGATTTATTTTTAAATAACTTTTATAAATTTTTTGAAAAAAATTTTTACCATCTTAAAGTAGGTGTATTTCTAAGTATACCTGCAAAAAATGAGACTTTTTATTCAGATTTTCTAAGATTTACATGAATTTAGCGCGGTTTGAAATTCGGCAATTTTTTTTTTTTTTTTTTTTTTTTTTTTTTTTAGCAATAATAACACTAAATGTGGTTTATACATTTTGTTACGGTAAATTGTCACAGCTATTTTTAACCTTAAATTTCGAATAAATCTTTACTGAAAATTAATTGTATGAAATTTTTCTCTCAATGATTCATAATAAATATTTATTAATACTATATGAAAAGCTGTTTTTTAAATTATAGATGATATTCAAATTTTTAACATTTTTTTTAAATATTTGTAAGAATAAGTTTTTACATCCGCCGTGTTATCGTCTGCTACTTTGTAACTTCATTTGAATTAATTGCCTAAAACTGAGAAACGTTCACTTGATGTTTATTTTCACAATGATTTTAAGCAAACAAGACGTTGACACTTAATGTCAAATCCCAGGTTTAAAAAAAACATATATATATAAACATAAATTTTTACATTAATCCTCTTAGAAAGAATGTTTCAAGTAGTAATTTTTTCTCATGTTGTAGATTATATAAAAAATCTTCTTTAATATAGAAATTTTTAAGCTTAAAACTTGATAATATGATTAAGATTTATTGCACTCGGTGGTACAGGATAAGCGCTGCTGGAGTGGTTTATTTCTTTCTCATTTAACAAAAATCTTTCAATTCAAATATTTATCCTTTGGACTTTTGATTTGGTTTATTAAGTTACGGCAAAGCCGAGCAATCTGCTAAAAGGAGGGATGTCTTTGTGAAGAACTTTCTAAGTGAAACCAGCTCGTATACACGCCACACACGAGAAAAACCATGAAAACGCCCATGCAACCAGCCCAAGGATTCAAACCCCCGAGCGAACTACCAGTATTCAGCGACTTTATCACTGGGCCATTTGTGGGCCCTTTTGAAATAGAAGGCAATAAATTTATTTAAAATTATTGTCAGAAATACCAAGATGTTTCAAAATTTTGGATGCTTTTTAATATACTTGCAGATTGCCTGAAAAAAAGCAAGCCATTCAGGGGGGAAAAAAATTACATAAAATTTAGTATTTTTTTAATTTTATGATATTTAATTCTTGATTTCAAAGATAAAATATAAAAAATACGAATAACATTTTAAGAAATTAAATATAGGATCATAAAATTGTGTAAAGCAATGGGCACAATGATAAAACTGTTTAAAGCAATATATGCAACTCATCCTAAATTAAAATGTCGGATATATGTTTCTCTTATTTATATATCTTTTCTGAACGGAACATTGAAGGGTGTGTTAACTGTGTTTTCTCTTTTAATATATGCAGTTTTCAAATGCATCGTACAAAGTATTCTTCTGAAAAAAATGCAATTCAAATAAATAAAATCAAATTCTAGAACAGTTTGAATGAATAAATAGAAAATTTTAAAGCAATTATCTGAAGAGCAATGCAACACAAACAATTAAAATCAAAATTTTAAATTACGTAAAATAATAACTATGACTAAAAATACAGTATAAAGAAAACTATTTGAAAAAAAAAATAAGTAAACAATGCATCTTTTATTTAAACTACGCAGTTTGAATGAGTAAATAGAAATTTTTAAAACAGTTATTTGAAAGAAACCATGCGACTTGACCAATTAAAATGAAATTTGAAAAAGAAAAAGTTTAAAATAATAATAAAAAAAATAACATTTGAAAGAAAGAATGATGTCACTTTTTCCCCCTCCCAAACAATGTATAAAAGGGAAAGGAAAATAGTTGCCATATATTAAGAAGTTCGCCAAGTGAATTATTCTTGGTGTAAACTGAAAAAAAGCGCCAATATTAAAGTTTTGTATTTCGCACCAAATTTTACAATATTTAATAATTTGAGTCGTAGAATCGAAATATTTAAAAACATTGATATGTTATTTCAAAAAAGTCCGATTTTGTTTCAGTATACCTATGTTAGAATAGTGCTATATATAAATCTAATATATATTCTAATTCCCGCTTTCAAGACATGAAAAACGCAATTTGAATTTTGTGGATCGGCTCAGTAGAACGAGAGGTATAGAGCTATTGCCCCCCCTTTTTTTTTTCCAGTGTACAAAAACCATGCAGAGTTTCTTATATGATTCAATTCTTCTAAAACAGCTGAACAGAACATGATTCCTGAGATTTAGAAGTTGGGAATCATCTATGAAAAAACGAAAAATCGCTGTTTGAAAACCTCAGTCCGCACTTTAAAGAATTTACCTTTAAAACCTTAAAGTTATAAATTTTAAAAATTAAATAAAAGCTCTAAAATTACAAATAAATTGCAGTTTGATGTTAGTATGCAGATTTTAATTGAACACCCGAAACCAAAACTGATGAGTTTTTGTAGATCTGTTGGTTGATGGTCTCCTAGAATTTAGAGTATAAAATGAGCTCTTCAAAATGCAAAGCTGAGATATGTGAAATATTCGCAATCATTTTATTTCATTGTAGAATACTACATGAAGACTTGTACACATACATAAAAAAGACTTATGGTTCAAGACATATCTGTACTTTATTTTTTTGGAATGCTACACTGTGAGTTTTGGAATAAATACTTTTTCAAATGACAGTGCTGCTTATTTTGCAAGAACATGAAATCTCTTAGAAAGCAGAGATCCGTTTTGTAAGGTATTTCAAGAGATGTCTTAAAAATTACCAAATGTATTTCCCCCTCACACCCTCTTCATTTCACAGGGAGACCTTTTTAATTATGTACGTTTTTTATTCTTAAACTCTTCTGTATCAGGGAGCTGTCTTATGTGCATATGTACGAGTGCACGGGTGGAAAAAAGTGCCCTAAATACACAGGTTGGGTATGTTAGCTAAATATATTTAACATTAAAGTCCTAAAATGCATCAACAAAATAAACTTTTTTTTTACAACAAAGGTATCTTTTTAGACATTATAGTAAACTTTAACAGGAAACAAAATAGTTAACCCCTAAATGCATGTAGTTGCCTCTTGGCAACATACTCATATTTAGTCCTGTAAATCAAATCAAAACAT